GTTTAAACACTTCATAGATACCGTTAAACCCTCTAAAGAGTTTCCTGAACTTCTTATATTAGATGGACACTACAGCCATACTCGCAATTTAGATGTGATCAATCTGACAAGGGAGAATAACATAGTTATAATTTCACTACCTCCACATTCAACACACAAACTTCAACCGCTAGACAAAACTTTCATGGGAACGCTCACGGCATAGGTACTATAGCGAAGAAATCAGCCAAACTGGAAAAATTGCTGTAAATGGATTCCGCGCCACTGGAATTTATCCATTGAATAAGACTGTGTTCTCAAATGCAGATTTTATTGCAGCAGAAATTAAGAGTAACAACCACAGCCATGTAGAACCGCAAGCTATTAAACCTTCTATCCTACCAAAAACACCAGAAGCCAGCAACATCAGTGAATCAGGTCCTTCTAGTTTGTAGAAGTTTTTAAATAAGTCCGCAAGCTATTGAACCTGATATCCTACCAAAAACACCAGAAGCCAGCAACATTAGAGAACCAGGTCCTTCTGGTTTGCAGAAGTTGGTAAGTCCGCAAGCTATTGAACCTACTATCCTATCAAAAACACCAGAAGCAAGTAACGTCAGTGAACCAGGTCCTTCTGGTTTGCAGAAGTAAGTCCATTTGAAATATCGCCGATCAGGAAAAAATATCTATAAATCGTGGTAAAAACTCATCGAAATGAACGGTAATAACTTCTTCACCTTACAAGGAAGCATTAGACCAGCAAAACAGCAAAAATAAATTAAATGTACAAGCAGTAAAACGACACATTGCGGCTGAGTCCAGAAGGGAGGTGGCTAAGAAAAAAATTAAAAACAAGTCAGAGAGGCGGCATAAATAGGAAATCGAAAGTTCTTCTGACAACGATAGTGAGCAGGAATTTCAACCAGCTGATGAAGATATGGATTTGGAAGAGATTCCTGGTGTAACGGATCCGGAAAATACGGATGTAAATTGTATTTTCTGTGACGGAAAATGTTGTGAGGATTATCGAGATGAAAAATGGATTCAGTGCCGTATGTGCAACGTGTGGGCACATATAGATTGTTCTGGTGCAGAAAGAGACGAATGTGTGTATGAATATTGTACATAAAAAATTCTAAAATAAAAATAAAAATATTTTTACTAGTAGCCCATATTTATATCACCTTTCCGTTTTTTACTTAAAGGACACCGTGAGTGTTTTTATTACATTACAGAATAGGCAGAAAAACAGACTAACACAAAAGAGCAAAACAATTGTACATGCCAATTATGTAATTTGAACTTTCGATCAAAAAATAGTCAAGATATCAGCAATAAACAAAATGGTAGCCCATATTTGTACCTTCTCCTCTAATTCATTAAGTAAGATTCATTCAAAAGAAGCAAAAAACGGCAGGAAATATGAAAACTATTTTGTGATGAAATTCCAGAACATGAAATAAGTTTCAGTAGTACAGAACATTTTAAAGTTAATACTTTTGTTGTTGTGTGCGATTCTTTACTGATTGCACAAAGATCTAAGGGATATAAAACTATAAACAGTTTTTTATAATAGAGATGTTAGATACTCTTCAATAGAGCAATAAAAATGATATGTACAAAATTTAAACCTAGCAGAACTGAAAAGTGAAGTATTACAATTTAAGACTTCTATAAGTAAAGAAAATATTATTTACCATGAACACCATTATAACACCATGAAAATTGGTGACTAGTTAGAGAATACCTTAATAAACAAAAGTGACATGGTATCAATTTGCGCTTTTACCTTAGAAGTGGATGGCACCCCTTGTCGGAGTGGAAATTATTTTATTTAAAATAACCCCAGGAAACGATAGAATCACCAAATCTAAACAAAATTTATCTTATAAAGTTATTAAAATAAATGAATACTTTTTGAGTTATTGAAGATTAAACATTTTGATTTTTCGTGAAAAAAATGCATGATTTAAAGCAGTTTTTCATAAATAACTCATAACTATAAGTTTTTATAAAAACGTCATTACCAAAATTGAAGCTAATAAAAAATTGAATAAATTTCTTGCTTGAAAAACCTTTTCATATTAATTCAAAGTGAGTTATAGGTAAATAAATGTATTTTTTTTTTCGGCAAGTACTCAAATCTGAATATTCAAACTTAAATAACGATAAACAATGCATTTTATAAAATATACTTATTCTACAATTTTCAAAGTACTCAGAATTACCTATAAAATGAGCTCTAGGAGAAGTTCATAGCATCAAAATTAAGCAAGTTATGATGAAAATAAGAGAACCCTTTCGAATTTTTTTGGAAAAAGTGAAAAATAAAACATACGCCATTTCCACAAAAACTAAAATTTATAGTAATCCCTATAAGGCTTTCTTGATTTTAGCATTAGTAATGACCTCAAAAATTTTGACCAGTTTAGAATGCATATTTAAAAAAAATTGATTTAAAAAAATCAGAATTTTTCAAATTTTCATAAATTTCATTTTCTTTTGAGAATAACTCCATTTATACTCAATATTCAAAATTTGAGGTTTTTTTAACAAAGATTTTCATTTTTTTATATTTTCGTAAGATAAAAAAATAACTGAGACAAAAAGTGTTTAGAATAAACTTAAGAGGTCGCTGGTTAAATGATATTCGATAAATAATTATAAAGAGAAAATGCAATATTTGTTTGTACATAAAATTAGCGAAAATAGTAACTATCGATTATGAATAAATTATGAAATCAACTGGTTCTACTCATTATCGTTGTTTGCACCAAGAACATAGACTTACCCTTTGGTTCTATTGATGTATTCGTACCAGGCTGAAGAGTTGGTCGCTGGGCATCACGACGCCGAGGCCTGGGACGTCGAGGTTAATAACACGAGACCGGTCTACGGAGCGTTTCGTTCACTGTGTTACGAAGAAGTAAGTGCGTTGAGATGGTCAGAGCTAAGGAACCCTCTAAATAGTGGTCCGAGAGGGTGTACCAATAAATCATTCTATTGTCGGACGATTTTGAATGGCGATAGTTTAAAGTTAATTGCTACAGTAATACGACACTTTACACTTGTATGTATATTTTTGACCCATACACAAGAGAAGCCAAATTCTCCGTATTTCAAACATGATAAATGAGATAGCCAGTTTAAGTTTTACGAAATAACAGGAAATAATATATTTTAAAAAGGTCTTTAGAATACAGCACTAAATTAGATCACATTACAGTACCGTAACAATATTAAATGTAAAAATACATACTTTCCCAAACAAAAAGGTTTAAAACATAAATTTTACTGCGAGGATCATGAAACAGGGGCCCTTTACCCTTTTATCTTTTAAAAAATAAGGGATTTAAAAGATTAAATTTACTACGACTTTATAGCCCTTGAAATTACCTTCCAAATAGTCTTTGAATGAACCTGATATCATAATAATTAACGGAGTTATTGTAAAAAATGCAGTCTACGGATCATGCAGTGGGGACAATTGGCAAAATAGCCCTCTAATTAATGAAAAAGGAGAAATTGCTGAAGAGAGAGTAACAATTAAAGTACGTTTAATATTTGATTAATTTATGAAACATTACTTTACCTTAAGTCACATAAGCACTGAAAAATTTTTTCAGGAAATGTGGAAAGAATAATATTAATAAAATCAATAAAAAGGTGTATAAATGATTAAAGCTATTAAATCTAATAAAAAAAACATTTTCCATTATTTTTATGACAAGGGGTAGTTTTTAAGGGTGCAAAATTACGCAATAAATAAATAAATACTTTAATACTCAGTAAATGAGATTTCAATTCGGTAATGTATTATTCAAACAATTAAAGGTTCTTGAAATTAATTTTTTCAATGATTCTGCTTTAAGGGGGTGGTTTTTAAGGGTTGAAATTTCAGAGTCAGTCAAAAATTATATCATAAACATTAAAGAAACTATTTGAGTACTATTAATATGCGATTTGATATTTCAAAAATATAAAAAATGATTTTTTCATGATTTTCGATTTAAGGGATAGTTGCTGAAAGGGTTGAAAAATTAATTAAAATCATAATTCATGCTGATAAATGTTGCAAAATATGTATTTTATTTAATTAATCGTGATTACTTATGCCAGAATGCTTAAATCTGCATTTTTTACCAGTGTTAACAAAAGGGGTGGAGTTCACTCCTAAAATGCAAAAAGTGCAAGTTTTGAGAGCATGTGTCACTTTTGAAGTTCAGGGTAAAATATACTCAATCCCAAATTTTTATGCAAATCGATGGAGTTTCACCGAAATCGGAGGTAATAGTTGATTTTTACCTTCATTCACTGTACTAGTAGTCATTTATTCAGGAAAATTTGTAACATTTATAAATTTAAACACAATTCTGATAATTTATTTAACCCTGCAATAAGCAATGCAAGCAGTGAAAGATCATTACATTTAGAATAACAATTAAATGCAATTAATGCAACATTTATAAATTTAAACACAATTCTGATAATTTATTTAAATAAGCAATGCAAGCAGTGAAAGATCATTACATTTATAATAAAAATTAATAGTTTCTTTATCTAGAAAGAGTTATTAAATAACTCTATGATAAATTAATTGACGTGTTTGCAGAACTAAAGGTGAGAAAAAAAAATATAACTAATAAATTTGAATATATTTGTTGAAGTATCATTGTTCTTTTTACTAAACTGTGTTTATTTAATTTTTATATCTATAATGGAACTACATGCTATATGCTTTGAAACTAAACTACGAAACGCAAACAATGTGTCATTACTGAAAAATATAGTCGGAATTACAATGTTGCCTACTACGGCCCGCTTTTCACATCAAGTACTTCTATTAAAACTGATGAAAAATGGATAAGTTTATAAAATTGTTGTCCCTACATACCGCCCCTGTCCTTTTTAACGATCGATAAACTACCGTTGCTACCGGTAATTGCATCGCATCAGCTGTTCCAAATCCAAAATAGATCAAAATAAATATTTCTAACCTACAAATCTACTATAACACTTACTTGTAAAAGAATGTTTCTGTAAAATTAACGACACTGTAAGTTACCGCGTGACATAAAGCCCCAAATTTATAATTTTTATTGTCCGTTTTTTTTGTCATGATTATTTTAATGTTTTGTAATGTAAATTTAATTTCCTACATCTTCCCACGTCAATACTGCACTGCACTACTCTGCATTCTGCATTCCTTGACAAGAATAATCTATTGCAATTACCAACAAATGAAATGAATTACACTAAACGTCAATAATTTCGGTACCCGTCTTTATACACGGTAAGCACGTTGCAGATGTAAACACAGTTCGTAGTTCAGTTCAGGAGGAATTAAACCCGACTAAAATGACTAATGCTCTCCATAACATACACTGTCCTCGGCTTTTCAGCAGCGCATTAGTAGGAGAGCTAGCAACATAAAGGTTTTTAATCTTCCTGATAATGAATTAGAGGAGAGGTTTCGTATATAATGGGACTGGTTTTAGATTACTGAGAAGGCGTTATTTCAATTGGTGGAGATTGCTTCCTGCTTTATTATTTTCCCATCAAAATATTTATCCCAATACCTAAACTAATAAATCAAACTAATACACTTAAATTTATCTTGAAAATTATTTAAAACGTTCATTAGAATTACAATTTATCATTTCCAAGTGACTGAAGGTTGTGTATTATTTAAGCTTTTGCAGCTTGAAGACACACTATGATGAACAGCTAGTCAGATGATAATGATAAAGGATTGTTCAAAAAAAGTATGTTGGTTATCACCAAATCACTGTACACTGGGAAAATCTCCAAGAACTAGCTAAAAAAACTGGAACTTCTTAAAACCAATCATCTCCTTTATTATTAATACGTACTTGACCTAATCCTTAAAAACGACAACTACGAGGTAAACTGGAACCACATTGTGCTCACAGACCAACCAGTGGTAAATAATAAACCAAATCTGATGCTTGTCAATAAACTTACTAAGCAAACAACACAAATAGATATGGCGATACATAACAATAATAATCTGCGTGTTAAATACAACAAAAAGATCGCCAAGTACACAGATCTGAAGATACAAATAAGGAGACCATGGAGAATTGAAAGTACCCAGATGATACCGATTATTCTCTCTATTATTACTGGAGTCATTTCGTAGAACCTGCTAGAAAACAAAACAGCTGGGTCTTAATAAACATCTCTATAAGACCATCCAGAAAGCGATACTACTCTCAAGATCCAGAAGCGTAAGAACATTTTTGGTAGATACTCCGGTGTGACATAAATGCTTTTTTGGGCTTCCATGGTATTGCCAGAGGTCAACTTCTGGAATACCACATTCCAATGGACGTGGAAAGCATGACAATAGGCCCTCTAAAACTCCAGATGAAGTTCTATACCTTATACGAAAACACATTAAATCTTTCAGGGCAGTCTCATTACTTAAGGCAAGATAATCCTGACAAAGTGTTTCTACCCGAGCAGCTCAGTGTAAAAAAATGAACAAAATGTTTTTGCAGAAAATCCAAATTAACGTGTCATATAATTTTTATTATGACCAATGTGTGTTGTCTGTGATGACCTATGGTGCCGAAACATTGACAGCTACAAGTTCTAAAATGTTGCAAAAAGCTCAAAGGAAAATGTAAAGATCAATGCTGAGTATATCGCTTCGTGACCGAGTTAGAAATGAAGACTTAAAACGAAGAACAGGAGTTACCGATGTAATTTTCCGAATTGCCACACTAAAATGGAACTGGGCCGGGCACGTCGCACGAATCAGTGATGAAAGGTGGACGAAGAGATTGATTGAGTCGAGGCAGAGATTAGACAAAAGAAGTAGAGGAAGACTCCCTACACGATGGACTGACGATCTCAAGAAAATGTCAAGAAATTGGATGAAAAGTGCTCAAGACAGAGCAGAATGGATAAAAATGAGGGAGGTCTATATCCAGCAGTGAACGCTAAGGGCTGGTTGATGATGATGATCATGATTATTATAATGTTTTTACGAACGACTTCAACATTTCCTTTGGTGTGTCAAGAAAAGATACTTGTTCACGTTATGGTGAACTGTTGGCATTAAAAAAAGAGTTGCACTTACGAAGAGCCAGTAAATTTACAAAAATATAAAACAAGACATTATAAATTGGAAGCAAGAGCAGGTAGATGTATATCGTTTGACTTTTAACAAAACCTACCATTAAGAACTACCTACCGCATATAAGAACTAGCGAGGTATTTCTTGAAAGCCAACTTGTTACTATGTATTTGCATTCACGACATGGCGGATGATTCAGCATCAATGTACGTCTAAACTGAAGATATTGCAAAGAAAGGTTCGAACAACGTAACTTCTATGTTTTTGCATTATTTTAATCATAAAGCTCTATCTAATGATCATTTAATTATATTTGTTGATGGATGTTCTGGCCAGAACAAAATGGTTTATGGTTTATTCACAATATATGCTGGTGAATTCTTTAAAGATGAAATAAAAGAAAAGAAAATAACCCACATATTTCCCATCAGGGGACATTTCTTCCTTCCGAATGACCAGGACTGTGCCCTGATTGAGAAAAAAAGAGAATATGTAGTCCAGAAGTTCCAGAAGATCGGAATGAACTCATACGTCAATCAACAGAAAAGCCATCTCTACTTAAGGTGGTCAATATGACTCAGGAAATTTTTTTCGATATAAATAAAGCATGTTCCTAATACTTTTTAAGAGCCCAAGACCAAGTTTGGGTCTTGGAAAAGCATGTATTATCAAGATATCTATAGATTCTTCATACTTTAAAACGCGTAGTACATAAGATCCATGGACTGACTGTGCTATTCGGAATAAGAGAGCATTGACCAATGGTATAGACTTAGATAAATTATATGAGTGTACGATTGCTATTAGTTCTATGAAAATTCTGAATATTGTATCACTATTTGCATTAAAAAAAAACCCTAAAAACTTTCCCTTTTATCAAAAATTTCGAGTCACTGAAACCTCACCAACTGTAGACGTTGGTTGATGAAGATGGCGCTAGCAGTGGATGTGGGTAACTCAAATTTTAAAAAAACATACTATGTTGTCATCTAGGTTCTGGTTAATAAATTATTTTCAGCAAAACGTGGGATTTTTTTGTATTTCAGTCAAAAACAGAGAATGACAAAGTGTTTTTTATTGTTTTTTCAAAAAGTAAATACTCTTTTGGCACCTAGTTTATTAAATAATATTTGTTTATATATATTCTAATTCATAAAAATTAGAAAAAAAACTTTGGCTTGAATATTACCAGTTAATTAAGTTTTTATTAATTTCTGAAAATTTACTTTTTTTAAATTGCTTGTTTTTTAAATAAACCTATTTATTATTGTACCACATTGTATGAAATATTTCAATTGTATTATTTGTAAGTATGCAAATTTCGATAATAATGGCTGCTGGCTCTTACACTATCGTATGGTTTATCCATTTAGGTATTTAATTTTGTGATTATGTAGGTATGTGTGATTAAAATGAGATTACATTATTTGTGCCTTCAAACTTTTTTTATTTATTTAAATGGAAGTGATATCTTGCTGCAATCAAAGCAGATTAGGATAATAGGCATTGACGTGTTTAAAAAAGGGAACTTTTATAAACACGTCAATTAGAATCTTTTCTTTCAAGTTAATTTTAAATGAAAAGATTATACTCCTTTTTGCACCGTTTCGTTATCTTTTCACATTATGCCCCTAATATTTTTCTTTTTTTTTTCATGCTAACTTTGTTACTTTTCGAAATATTGTTCTTTTTCCGGGGAGAAGAGACTCCCGGTTCGAAAAAATACAAAATTAAATTTCTATTACAAAAATTACTTTCGTATTAAAATACACAAATGTATCTTTAAAAGTTTTATTCAGTTTCCTTCGGTCGGTGGTATAAATTCGACTAAAACTAACTCTAAACAAATTGAATATATTCTTATACTATATGAAATTCAATACCCTACATTCTCAGACGAAAGTCATTAAAATTTTAAGTGCATTCACCAGCCCTTAGCCGGAGATTCGATACGCTGGTTTACAAGGGGATTTTTAAAATAAACATATTACTTAATTATTATTAGCTCGACATCTATGCCTCCGTAATATGAATGCGAATAAAATTTGTGATTTTTATAGTTTAGAGGAAAACTAAACTATAAAAATGACTTATAGTTCCTTTTATTTAAATATATTTTCAATAATTTGTATCCAGTCTCTTGAGCATAATCTCTAATCTCATCTATCTCTAATCAACAATAAAATTATTATATTTCGTTAGTTACCAACAATCGATTATTGGCCTAAACATTAGAAAATATTAAATCTTTGCCAAGGGGGAGAGAAACTCCAAAAATTTAAACCATAATTTGATGGGTTACTTAAAAAACAAAACTTTTAACGAAGAATGGCCAATATTATAGGCAGAATGACTGTTTCAAGAAAATTGTGTATTTCCAATATAATTTTCTAATTTAATAAATTTAAACTGTTTTTTAATAAAATGTCTATCACATATTACATAAATAATATTTTGTCTATTTTTAACATTAAAAATATAAATATGCATAAAAACACCGATTGCAGTGTAAAAGCCGTAAAGCGCGTTTCAACTTTCAAGGCTACATCTAAAATGTTTTGAATGATTATTTATTTGATAATTTTATCATTCGCTTAATTTTGTGACAGCAATATTTATAAATATGTGTTTGAACGAAAACGAGTTAAAAAATATCATTTGTACTTGACTTATTACTTTTAAAAATATTATAAAATCGGTTACCTATATTATAGTAATGAGTTCAATTATCTATAAGTCCATAAATACGTTTGGTTTTAGAATCATTGCGTAAATATGGACACAAATATAAATTTCTTCTTCCTCTACTTCTCGCATTCTTTATGTCCTTTAAGAGCGTCGGCATCTATCCATTTTTTACCCATTTCTTTCACGCTTCTAGATCTCCTTCCATTTACTTTATCTGTTGCACTGTCTTCCCTTTCTTGGTCCCGATTTTCTGATTTATTCCATCCACTATCGTCTAGCCCATCTACTTCTTCGTTGTCTTTTGGCCTCTGTAACAGTCTTTACCAGTCTTTCTCATCCATTCTAAATAATGTATCAATACCAATTCAGTTTGCTTTTTTTCTATTTTTTCCCTATTGGCTCCTGTTTTAGCTCGTTTCTAATGTTTTCGTTTCTTTCCCTGTCGGGTTCGTACCTACCGTATTGAATTATATCTAGTGAAAAATAAATTTAAGTCTCTACTTGCGGCATTTCGCCAAAAGATGGCGGTGTACTGTATTAAGTCGTGTATTCGAAT